CAGCAGGTGAAGGCTGGCCATAGACACGTGTGAGACACCAAGTGAACACAGGCCACAGACCCTCGCGAGCAGCAGGTGAAGGCTGGCTATAGACTCGTGTGATACACCAGGTGAACACAGGCCACAGACACACTGGAGCAGCAGGTGAAGGCTGGTTATAGACACGTGTGAGACACCAGGTGAACACTGGCCACAGACACACTAGAGCAGCAGGTGAAGGCAGAGATGTACATACTTCGTGTAGAAAGGTTTGTTCCCTTACGGATATGGAAGGTTGTATGGTAAATGAGCATTATTTCTCAAGCTTGTGATGTATACACATTTTATCTTATTTGACATTGTAGTTTTAAACAGTGTCTTACAGTTCTTGTTTGCATTTATCCACGTTTAGTAATTTTTGTTACTAAATGTTAAACCTGAAAGTACTGTACTATAAAAATTAGTTCTGTTTCTTAGCAGCAGTCTGGGATGAGGGCAAAATAACATTCTGATTTGATGTAGTTATTTAATCCTTCTGTATTGACTTAGGCATATGTGAAGGTCTTTTGCATCTGTCTTTCTGAATTTTCTTGGTGGACTGAATTATGTCTCTCTGTGTTTTTCAATTAGGCATCCCGTTGTTCATCAGATGCTAACATGCTGGGAGAAATGATGTTTGGATCTGTTGCAATGAGCTACAAAGGGTCCACTCTGAAAATCCACCAGATACGGTGAGTTTCCTCTGAAACGCCTCTGATTTATAAATAAAAGAATGAAGTGCAGGTAGTGAAGCTGCAGTGACAGATGACTGATCTTTGAGCAGCCAAAATTAAATTTATTCTGCTGTGCTTCTCTGGTCTGCAGTTCTCCGCCTCAGCTGATGCTCAGCAAAGTGTTTACAGCTCGAACTGGTAGCAGTGTATATGGCAGCCTTAACACGTGAGTCCTTTCCCTTTCATCTTTCATTCTAACATCCACAGTTACTGTACCATTGAATTAAGTACATATCTCCTTGGAGTACGAGATCTAGTGCTTCTGAACTTTTTTGTCTAACTGATCAGTATACGTTATGACTAGTCTATGATTACAATACATAGATAAAAGAAAAATGTAAAATATAAAGAAATATGTAAAAATGTAAAAATATATATTTTTCTGTACTTAAGTTTGAATATGAGACCATGTATTCTTTCTGTAATTAAAGTAAGCAAATGTTTACTATTGTCGGACACTGAAGGTTACTCTTGGATACCTGACACTAATTTGGCTCTGTGTTATAGATTGCAAGACAGTCTTGAGTTCATCAATCAAGATTCGAATGCTCTAAAACCAGATCAGAACACTGTGGTGAACGGGCTACTGGGCAACATAGGTAACTTGACATTTAGAATTGGCAACTTTGGATTGACAGCTAAGCAGCCATTCATTCAAGCATGCTCATTCACTCATTTCCTTATTGTAATCAAAACATGTATTTTTCATAATATGTTCATCTTAAATAGTCGTAAAAGAACCTTATGAAGTTCCATCAGGAACTTCAGTATACTCTTTCAGAATTTTATCTGATTAATTTTTTAATCATAAATTTATAGTTACTATTCTTTCCTACTAAACCTTCATGTGGCTGAGATCTTAGGGATCTCCATGAATTTAAGTGCAGCATTTCAGTTTCATATCACCTGTTGTGTAGAACAGTTACATAGCTTATTTTTTTCCATTCTTGCACAGATTGTGAGAACATACCACTTTACATTCATATAACCTGTGCCTTCAGGTTGAAGTTCCCTGAAAGACCTTTATTGGTTTGTCTCTTTGTTGCGCATACTGTATGCTCTGTGTACAAACACAAATGTTTTCTGTTTGTGTCTACCTGTACTGTTAATGTAATTGTTCTAACATCCATCATAAGGCTGTTCAAAACACTTTGAGTTGGATTTACTAAGTTATTTTTTTCTCTGTGAGAAATTAATTTGATTTTAAATGCAACTTATATAAAAAGCCTTGTTCTTAAATGCATCACAGCTCAACCCCCAGTTCAAAATCTTAGTAAATCCGACCCTTTGTTTTGATGTCTGTTTCTGCTTGAGTTTTACCCCCTAAGAAAATATATTTCATTTTTAATCTTTAGCTAACATTTTAATTTTAAATCCTCAATTAGTAATCATTTATGTTTGTATGGTCAAATATTAGCACCATAAAGTCATTTTAAAAATATATATATTTTCTTAAAGGGGTACTGAATCCTTCATATGGATGATGGATGGCATATGTTGTCTTGACAGCTTAAGAGTCTCCATTGTTTTGTTTGTATCCTTTATGCTGGGGTGTAAGTTCAATGTTCAGTGCAGACTTGTTTCTCTGCTTCACTAACCCAGTTCACGTCTGTTTTACGTTTTGCTGTCTAGGTTTTTCGCAACTCTGCAGCCCCCGACGGGCCTTCTCTGAGCAGGGCCCTCTTCGTTTGATCAAGAGTGCCTCTTTCTTTTCAGGTTTGCAGTGTGCTGTGTGCAGTGCATGCATGTGTATCTTTGTTCCATTCACGTCCCTGCCATCTACAGCCACTACTCCTGTGGTCTGTCTCTCTGTATAACCCTGAAATCACTATGTTTTTTTTGTTTTTTTTTAGTGTGGCACTGGTGGTAGCATTGTTAAAAATAGCTTTACAGAACTCACTCGGTGTGGTGGTGGCATGCAACTATGTAATTATGCATTACAGTTATGTCAGGAAGACACAAGTCAGAGAGCACAGTTCAGATATTTTCAGTGAAAGTCTGTGTTTACGTGATGATAAATCACATAATCAGATGGCTGAAAAGCCTTTCTTAGCAGGCTCTTATATCAACAATAATGTTGAAGGGTCACACACAGGACAAGTAAATATTTTAATCTTGGTCGAAGAAGTGTCTCTTGAGCAGATCTCTAACAATGGCAAGGCTGTACAGTATATGTCCTGCAGTGGTAGACATTCTGTCTGTATTGACATGAGTAGTATTTAACACCCAACAGGGAAAAGAGGAGGCAGTGTGTGAATTTCTGACCTCCTGACCTGGACCTTAGTTTTGTTTTTTTTCTTATTCCGAAAACTAACTGGCTTCGGCCGTTTTCAGGAATTTGGGGAAATACTGCAGAAAGATAAAATATCATAAGAATGTCACCTGAATAAACCCCAACATAATGGTTTTGTCAGTTGACCCAGAAGTGCATGGGGAAACATATATATGTTTTTTGAAAGAAAATAAAAAACACTTTTTAAAAAAGTGACTGAGTTTAACAATGCTTTGTGTAATTTTTAACCTTGTGATTTAAATGGAATGCTCACCGGCTGTCTTTGTTAATCAGTATTTGGAGGGAAAAATGCATGCGTTTTATGAATCCTTGCTTAAATTGCCTGTTTCTATTGATATCCATTTAATTTTCAAATCAGATTTTAGTTTGTTTCATTTTTTTCAATTTGATAATTCCTGTGTAAATAGCTTGTTATTATTTTGCATTCTGGATCTCTGTTTGCACATTGTGGTTGATGGTTCTCATTTTATAAATAAACACCTTCTGTGTATGGTTTCTTAGTTGTTGAGTTCAACATAAGCACGTACAATTGTATTTCCTTATGGATTCTGATAAACATGTATACTGTACATCCTGACACACTACAGTATATTCATTGCACATGTAAGAAAACACTTTTCATAAGCTGTATGTGTTGAAAACTATTAGAAATAAGTGTGCTTATTTTAACTTGGGACATCAACAGCTGTTGGTGATGGGACATTCATATCACATTTGCAGTAGGATATGTACTTTTTCTGAAATAGTTTATTAAAGTTTCTTAAGCTAAATTCAGTTATTCTCCAAAAGGCCACAGTAACCCCATGGACATGCCTGGAAGAGGACAAAATGATGAGAGAGACAGTGGAATTGCCAGATCAGGTAATAACATTTACTTGGACTCAAGACATACTGTAACTTCTTTTTGAAGATGCAGTTTTTTTTTCCGCGTATAATCTATCAAAATTGTCAAAGTTAGATTAAACAGAGTAATAGAGTGCTATTCAAGTTTTTTTATATCATTAGCTGATTGTTTTGATTCTCATTTTGGAACTGTCTTAAGTTTTGCTTTGTTTGTAAAGTAATAATTCAGCAAGTTCATTTTTTATTCAGAAGCAGAAAACATAGTAACATAGTGTAATTGTTCACTGTCTTCTTTTCTATCCTTAAAACTACATCAAGGGTCAAATCAGAGCCATTATGATTAGACAATTCCCCAAATCAATCTTTGCAATATCTGAAATTCCTTAGAAGAGAGCACATTATTTTACTGAGCCATACCAGACAGCCTAATGGTTACGTCTGATGGTATGCTGTTATATAGTACTGGTACTGAATCTTGCCAAAGCTCCAAAAACCCTTGACTAGATCAGAGAATGGAAAATGATCTAGCGGCATTGTGGGCATGTGGGGAATCTCACGTTCTTTATAGTGTGTGTACAGATATTTAAATTTAGAAACGTGAAACTGCATGGATATTTATAAACGCAGCTCTCATTCAATCCCCATTGCTTTCCCTGAACCACTCAACAGGTTTACATGCAAAGTCTCACCGTATCTTTATTATTCATTCATTGCGGTGAAAACACTTGAGACGTTTTCATGCCACTTGCGTTTAGATTCAATTTTATATTCAGGATGTTTTGTTTTCAGTACAGCTGTAACTTAAGCCATAAAGTTAGATATGCGTTTCGGGTCTGGATTGTGTTGTACAGATGGGTGAGCCTTGCCAAGGTTAGGTAGGCCTGAGCAAGATGGGGCATCCTCAGCTTCCTGAGCATATGACTTGTTGGGTGTATGTGTAAACGTTCAGTACTGTCATTAAGAACATGCAGTTCTTAACTCCTCTAAGTGATGCTGGCTCTGCTGTGGGTACTGCGTCACTACTGGGGCAAAACAATGACTGGTGGTTCTTAGAAGTGTGTGTTATGGAAGATAGCATGTGGGATCATCGCCTGTTCACTAGTGTAAGGGCCACAGAAGCAAAGCTGAATCGATTACTATTTCCAAATGTGCACATGGGGAGTGATATATAGCAGTTCTACATTTTATCTTTTTAAACACACAAATATAATTACGTGAAGACGCTCGAGTGGGGAACTGTAGAAGCATGCATAGGCTGCAAAGGAACAGGAAAAGATTCATTCCATCCTGAAAGGTGACACACCTGAAGAAGGCTCCACAGCTGAAACGTAGTGTTTGGTTTCCTTCCTTTACCTTTCAGCATGGATAAAACCTTCACCCGTTCCTTTAAAACTATATGAGCAGTATGCGGTGACCACTGAGGGAAGCGAGTGCAGGCTTGACGCTGTGCTGTGTGGATGGGTGTCTTTCTGTAGTGATGCGCTCCTGACCTTCCTCTTCTTCTGAACGCAGCCTCCCTGAGCAGCCTGCTCGTTACTCCCTTCCCTTCTCCGGGCTCCTCCCTCACCAGCAGCTGTGCCAGCAGCTACCAGAGGCGGTGGCTTCGCAGTCAGACTACCAGCCTGGAGAATGGTGTATTCCCACGATGGTATGAATTAAAAAAAAAAGTTTTTTTTAGCATTCTTTTAAGTATCTCAAACTTTTTAACACTGCAGAAGATTATTACTTATCAGCTCCTTTTTTGTAGTATTTGATTTTGTGACAAATAATTGCCCTTTTTGTATAAAAAAAAGATTATAGTTAAGTATAGTATTTTATCATTGATTTAGAAATTGTATCAGAAATACTGTAGATTGTTATCATCATTCATTCGGAATTTCAAATGTACAAAGGAGAAATGTGTCTTTGGGTATCTGTGTTAGTTGGATGCAATGGAAATGATGTAGAGGAATAGAGAAATAGATATTCAGGAGAAGCAGAAGTAAGGTGGACGGCTTCTTGAAAATTCAGCCACTAACTGCACTGCCGATAGACTTACCTGTAGCCTGCATTACATTAACTCGTTCATGACAATGTTCAGAAGTAGTTACAAATGCAAATTGTAGAGAAAAAGAAAAATACACTCAATGTTAATAACAGCACTCATAAAAAAAGTAGTTCATCAAAAACATCTAAAAAAGGTCTTAAGCCTTAATTTTAAAGATGTCTATGACCAAACTTGATTGAGCAAACCTGATGATTGGGCAGTGAATTCCACTATCATTTAGCCTGAACACAAAAAGCAATTATCTCCTCTTCGTCCTCGACCTAGGAATACAGTGAGGGTGACCATCATGAGGAATACAACCACTATGTGTTCACCTCAGTCAATACTGAGACAACTTGGTTTTGTTGATAGAGTAGATAGGTAGACAACTCTGATTAAGTTCTTTGGTGCTATTCTGTTTAAGTACTTTAACTGGAAACAGTAGGATGTTATTGTCAGTGTAATATCTCACTGCAAGCTAAGGAACAGTAGTAATGTGCTTACTAGAACAAAGAGCACATAAGAACATAAATCTTGGAGCTGAATTTTGTACAGCTGTATAGGGCTGGGCGATATATAGAACATTTATCGATACCGACGTTAAGAATCTCTCACTGACCTTAGTTTGCTTATGTCGGTAAGCTTTCCCCACTGTGTGTTTTCATGAGCGCTCCCCTTAAACTACAACACCCAGTCATCATATCCAGTCACATGCTTCTGCCTCGTCCAACCTCCGCTCTTCATTCAAAACACAAAGAAGCGTGCCGGGCATGAGACAACACGAGCGCTTATGCTGAACCCCAGTCAGGCAGGGATGACTCAAGTACAAATGAAGATGGGCTGGTATCTAAAACAGATGCAGTGTCGATAATTTGGTCATATTTTGGCTTCAGCAAACCCGATACTGAACAAAGAGAAGTCAGATGTAAACTCTGTTGGAAAACCGTTTCTGCGCCCAAAAGTAACACGAGTAGAATACAAAGAGTGCATGGACAAAAAAAAGAGAGACTGACAAGCTCACAAGAGACTGACAAGCCGAAGTGATTCCCCCAAGCAGCTGTGTCTAACATAAAAACATTTTCTAATGCCGCTCAATATGCAAAAGATTTACGCAGATGTAATGAGACAACTAATGCCATTGCATACTATAGTACATAGCGAAGGACATGGTCCCCATTGCTACAGTGGAGCATTGTGGTTTCAAAAGACTCGTTCAAGCCCTTGACGAGATACGTTGTGCCCTCAAGAAAATATTTTTCTCAAACTGTTGTGCCTGACATTTACTAAGTTTAATAGTTTTGCATATTTAAAATGGAATCTTTCAGCATATCATGTAATCATATATTTTTTAAAAGGGTTTAAAAAAATCGTTAATTTATCTTTATTGATGTAAATGTGGGAAATTATCGCGATATTGATTAAAGGTCATATCGCCGAGCCCTACAACTGAATGTGTATTGTGTAATAAAGCTTGGCTTTTAAGTTGTGCAAAGAGACTTTTACCACTTTTTACTTTTTGTAGTTTTGTAGTTTTATGGCTCTGGATAAAGGATAAATCATTTCTTACTCTTACTAGAGCATTTACTATGCTGTTAATGGAGGGAAACTGACTGCATCTTACAAAAATTGTCGTTCATCACATGACTTAAAAATAAAAGGTCCATATTGCCATTTAATATTCTTAGTAGAAGGTTTTTCGATCTCCTGAAAGGAGACAGGTTTTAGGTTCAACAAGATTGCTTTACCAAAGCAATACTTAAAAAGGCTAGAACGTTTTCCACAGAACTGTTTGTAAAATATTGTTACTTTGGTAACTAACAACATCCTTCAGAAACCTTATTCCAGTTGGTCCTAACTTAATATTAAAAGATTTCATCTGCGCTATAATTGCATTAAGATTCTGTGCCCAAATAGTCTTTGTGTTATTTTGGAAGTGAACGAGAAATTATTTGCACTGAGAGAGTTAAAATGTCAGTGTTTTCATGTTACTGAGTGAAGGAAAGGCCTGATTTGCTCATTTCTCTTATCGTTGGGAAAATAACCTGCGGGTTATTTATATTGTCTTTATATTGTTAGTAAGTTTAGAAATATAAACCAACCTTGCTGATCATTATCCCTCAATACATGTCCTTCTATAAAGTCATAATAGACAAGTAATTTTCTGTCCTTACATTCCATTTTATGACTATCTCATTTCGTTTGACAGATGTTATTTTTAATGAAAGAGAATTGCTTTTAGGTGGAACTAATTGAGTCTCAACTGGGGCAGAAGTATGAAGATTAGTTGTATTAAGATGGTTCCATCTGTCAACTAACTCATCTGTTAACAGAGCTGCATAGGAGCTACTGGAGTAGAACATGTCTTAGAAAACCTTTTTATGGTTGGAGGGTTAATTATTAGATGGAGGACATTTATTAATGTAAGCCCCACTTACACACAAGTAAAGTAGTCTCAAGTAAAATGCAGAAGTGATAAGAAATATTAAGATTCATTATGTAGCCTTCACACAGCTCCACTCGATAAGACTTGTCTATTACGGAGTAATTGACTTGAGTATTGCTGAAGTCACTAGGTTTGACAGACATTTACTATGATTGTGTATCATCAGATTAACAGTGAAAATGAATGCAGTGTTTGCAAATAAAATGATCTAGAGGTCATTTTATCATCTATAAAGAGCAAAACTGGACAAGGAATAAAACCCTGAGGGCCACCACAGGTACAATTTGATAAACCTGACATTGCATACAAAGAAAAACACATTTAAAAAAGCAACAACAGGTGATACAGCAATTGATCAACCAGTGGGTTCTAGTAACGGAACAACCTCTGCTGCCTCCCCGGGCTCTCAGTGAGGGACGTGTCTTTCCTCCGGTTGGTGCAGAACCTCTTGAGCAGGCCTGTGTTGCCTGTGGCGTGTTAAAAGACGAGTGGCTTGAAAGTGGGTGGGTTGGAGGAACCTGCCTGCACTAACTCACTCTCCCCTGTGTGAGGTTGCTGGGATTAAAGCTGCAAGCCAAGATGTGCAAAACACAGAGATAGCTATTCCAGATTGGGTGGGTAAAACAAAAATAATTGGCGATTCTAAGTCTATACTGTATATAAGTTCTGTTAAGCATGTATTATAACTAAACTTTGAAAAGTGATGAGTCTTATAGCATGTCCATGTTTATGGGGGACAGTGAAACATACAGCATAAAATCAAGACTTATGTTTAATAAGAATAGGTAGTTGTTTGACTTCTGAACCTTCTTCAGTTACCTTAACCTTCTAAATAATTTAAATCTAAGTTCAACTGAGTAACTGATTCGTAATCTCCGATTATGAAGTGAGTCTGTGTCTTCCACGTTTTGGTCCCAGTCTTACCTTGCATGGTTATCTCAGTAACGCAATCAACAAGCCTGTTGTTATAGTGTGGCCTGTAATTCGTAATTTAGTTGTCATAATTTGACAACTTTACCAGGGTTATCAAATTACATGTATTATTTTTGTTACATGAAATGGATTTGAAGGGGTGTAATTAAAATGTCTTTCCAGGTCAGTGGAGGAGAGTTTTAACATGTCTGATGAGACCAGTGGCCCCAGTCTGGGAGTCATGAGGAAGAAGAAGATTGCTATAGGTGTCATCTTCCTGCTTTCGCAAGACGAAGAGGAGAGTAACAAGTTTCAGGATTTCTTCTTTTCACACTTCCCACTCTTTGAAAGTCACATGAACAAATTAAAAAGTGCAATTGAACAGGTAACCTCATTTTAATTTTTTCTACTCTGAAAGTTTTTTTTGTACCCTTTTTATTTCACTAATGATTCATGCGGCAAATTATTTGTTTTTTCTGCCTCTGCATGAAGAAATGTAACATTTCTTTTTCCAGAGGACTCAAAACTAATGGAGAACATATTTCTGGTTTTGCCATGTTGAGAATGGTTTAGTTTAATACAAAATTAGAAGTTGACCTCCTCTTTAGAAAAGTATTTCAGGATTGACTGGTGCTAAAAGCAAAGAAACACAATGGTTCGGCTTTGGAACCTTCTTAGTTCTTAATCCTTAAGGACCCTTCTGGCATGCTGATGCAGCTCCCTATTCAGATATTTTTAAACAGAATAATATAAACAAGAAATACCATTGCTTTTTTTTAAATTGATTGTTTCTTGATTTTTCATTAATGGATTTTTGGGGTGTTACGTAATACAATGTACAGTCACAGTGAGAATATTTTATGGTTTTTATCCCAATATTAATACATGCTATGCTTTTCCCAAACGGGTTTTGCTACTTCTAAGTGAGATATTACTTAAGCAACAGACTTGCTGCTTTAGTTTTAATCTCAATGTCTTCCATCATATTGACAGAATGTAATGAAATGACTTTGGTAGGGGATTGGCTATTTGTGCTCTGTCAGTCTGACACTCCTGAAAAAAGATGATGAATGCTCACATTATCATTTATGTGTTTGGAATATATTTCCTGATTTTTCTGAATTCTGTTCTCTGGAGCGATTAGACTCTGAGTGTGCTTTCCTGTTTTTAAAAGGCAATGAAAATGAGTCGGCGATCAGCTGATGCCAGTCAGAGAGCGTTGGCTTACAGCAGGATCGTAGATGCCCTGAATGAATTTAGGTGAGTTTTCTTCTCATATAATTGAAGAAGGGAGAGAAGCAAATCCCTCAGCTCATTATTTTGGAATTTGGACAAACTGGTTTTATATTAAAGATTGGACTTCTGTTTAGAATATGAAGCTGTTCCAAAATTCTAAAAGCTGTTAAATTCAGATGAAATGATTATTGTAAAGTGTTTGAGGAATTTAAATCAAGAATTGTTAAGATAATACATGTGGCATTCAGCATGACACAGCTGTATCTGCCTGATGACAAACCATAAAGATATAGTAGATTCAGGCCCTAACATTGTGTGTTTTTGTCTTTATTTAGATAGAGGTTAAGAAATTAGATATAAAAATATTACAAGATGCCAAACTGTATAAGACGAGGTTGTTTTAAGCAAACAAAACCTTTAGTGACTGTTAGTGTTCCTAAGGAGCTTGTGCAGTGCTTGCCCCTGATGTCCTGCAGTAGTGAGCGTGTCAGTTCCTGTGTCTCTGCACCATTGCTCACATGGCTGCAGTGAAGAGATTCCCATTGCTGCAGTCATATGCCTGCTGGCCTGCTGCCAAGGCAACCCGATCTCCCTTGGAGGAAACACTATCTGTTCCAGACAGTGTCAGGGCTACCAGAATAGTAAATAATATGTCAGTGCCATGAGATGGAATTTGTCTGCATTGGACAAACAAAATATTTTTAATATCTCACCTTCATGACTAAATATAACTTTTGAAGGCTGTATCTGACATTAGGGATGTAAGGTCATGGCTAATGAAACAGTGTAAAATTAAGCATGACTTAATAATAATAATAATTACAATCCTAGCATTATGAAATGATACTTCAGAACCTCACACCCTTGAGATTGCATATATAAATTAATTTTTTCAGATATTTTTAAAAGGCGTAGGGTTTTTTTAAGTTTGCTTTTATTTTTCTTTCCACTGCTCGGTATTTTGAAAATAAGCCTGAACATAGAGTATACAGTTTTACTTTGGAAAAAAAATTGATATGGCTAACCTGAATTTCACCTGAACAGCTGCTAAGTGAAAGGTTAGACATTACACTAGCTTCAACACATTGCCAGCGATGTTCCAGGTTTTTCTCATGCTATAGAGATTGATGATTGCTCAGATCCCCCTTCACTACACAGTATAGTTTACATGTGGTGCAAGTTATTAAAAGAAAGAAACGGGCCTCCGGTCAAATGCATAGACCTGCAAAGGCAAGCAGTGTATAGCTGGCTGGAGAAAAAATCTCCAGATCTCAATATTATTAAAAACTGGAGGAACCAGTGGAAAGTGGCGTTCAGCCGTACATGTCATTTTCCTCAACACAACATCTGTCATGCTAGGAGAAAGGGACGGGACTAGGCTGCAAATGCTGGAATACAGAACCTGTAGACAGTACATGGACAAGCTGTTTGTGACATTTGCAGAAGCATGTTATTTGTAATGACATTGCCAATATTTTTAGCCAATCTGCACATTCTCCTGGTATGGTCTCCTTGAGAGTATTTTTTTACACTTTAAGAAAGGCATTTGTAATTTACTGAACACTTCAAAATAAAAACAGGAATTGCATGTTGCGCTAGCATTTATTATAATAGTTTAGTCCAGATCTCTTTGTCTGCATGTTTTTTACAGCACATCTGAATAGAATTTGGATTATACTCCTGGATTCCATACAAGGCAGTGGAACTTACAGATGATAAATTACTACCAAGGATCTCCCTTTTTTTCAAATATAAGAACTGTGCTCTTCTTGTTGGCGAAACAATGGCCTTGTTGTTTCCTTGCAGGACAACCATCTGTAACCTTTACACCATGCCACGCATTGCAGAGCCTGTATGGCTCACAATGATGTCGGGGACTCCGGAGAAAAAACAGCTCTGTGGCCAGTTTATGAGGGAGTTTGCTTTTCTAATGGAGCAAGCCTCAAAGAACCAGTTGAGTACTGTGTGTGTCGGTGTGTGTGTCTGTGTGTTTGTGTCCGTGCTTTAGGAAGCTGAGGAAAAACAGTGCTGTCACAAACATTCTGAATCTGACTTTTGTGTTCATTGAAACAAGATACATACTGTACTTCTGTTATTTTGTTTTTGAAGTTTATACATGCTTTTTGTTTGCATTCTGTGGTTCATAATGACAAATTTTAAGTGACAAAGTTGATACCTTATAATTTAAAAGTCTGTTAATCTGAATCTAAATTAAGAAATCTAAAAAAAAATTCTAGCAGTCCTTAATCTCTTAACTATGTTCACTTTGTCGCCATCTGTTTGTTGTTGATTGTTTTTTGGATTCGATTTCATGAGAACCATGGTGGAAATGCAGATGAGATCAGTGGATAATGGATGAGTGTAATGAATATAGAAAAAGGCTTGACGCTGACGCTGCTGCTCTCCTCTTTCCAGGTTTCTGCCAGCTCTCCTCACAGCCGTCCTCACCAATCACCTGGCCTGGGTTCCCACTGTCATGCCAAATGGACAGCCACCCATTAAAATCTTTCTGGAAAAACATTCCTGTCAGAGTGTGGACCTGCTGGCAAAAACTCACCCCTACAACCCTCTGTGGGCCCAGCTCGGTGAGTATAGAGAGTGTACCATCATGAAGGAAATACAGTCCGCAAATTGTAAAAAATGCTTTATAAAAAAACAGTTTGTCAAGACCATTTATAGTCTATGGCTTAATAAAAGGTGTGTCGAGACAGTTTATAGTCTGTGGTTGGAGTTTTACCTCATGTTAACAGCTAATGCTTGATTCTGCCTGATAGGGTCCTTTTGTTTTATACATATTCAAAAAAAAAATCATTTAGAAGAGGTTGCTTCTTATTGTAATGCTCCAAAACTTTGGAATTCACAAATGTGAATGTACATTTATTTTGTTTTGCTTTTAATAGTGGTATTGTGCAATTTTAGCTCATGTCCGCTTTTAATTGCTTTTATTTCTCAAAAAGATGTACAAAGAAAACAAAGAAATGCTTTTAAATTATAAATACAGGGCATTTACAATGAAGTTTAAAATTTATTATGTGAGAAAATTGTAGTTGTAATTTATTGTAGTTAAAACTATTAACTTAATAGTTTTGTTCATAGTAACGTTATAAAACACAACTACTTTGCTTCAGATAAATTGTTACCGCATACATAGAGCTAATATAAGAGTACATCTCCATCTAGTGGTTAAACACAGTGGCTACACAGCAGAAGATAACGCTATACTTGAAAACAAGAAAGAAATACCTTGTAGTTCAGGTGGGTGGCATGCGTAGTCTGCAAAGGAACAAGTAATAGGTTTATTCCAAGAAGAAGACTTCACAGCTGAAACGTGTTTTCTCTCTTCTCTTTTCAGCATGGAATAAACCTACTGTATTACTTGTTTTTTTGCAGAAATACATTGTGTACATTTGAAAAAATATATTTTTAAGGAAAATAAAATTTAATTATAATATTTCATCTTAGTTAGTGTTTATGTAAGAATTAATAAAAATATTAAGATTAAGAAGGTGATGTACACATTTCTACAGCAGACGTTTCACGTTCAAGAAGAAACACCATGCATATTGGAATATAAGGTATTTGTGGCATGTACCGTATGTTACACAGGGAATTCTGGCATAAAAGCATTGTATTAAAATAAAAACATCTTGATTTTACACACTTGATACAATACAGTAAACTCTTGGTTTAATGGAATTCTCTTGCTGGACTTTGCATTTAACGGACAAAATAGTCTAAAGGAGAATTTTGTCTGTAAAATATCACTCTTTCCCTGCATTAACAGGGAAGTGCTCATATAATAAACAAGGGGAAAATAAATACTAAAATGGTTTAAAATTTAGGAATTTAAGTGGTGCCATATAGTGGTAGGTCAGCTGTTTACAATGGGTGTTGCTTGTGTTTCATATGCTTTAAATGAATTTTATACAGTATGTTTATGACATGTGAAATAAAGAGCTTGTATGTACTGTATATGTATATGATAGTATATACACAGTATTTCTCACATAATAGTGTGATTTTGGGGCTGAGAAAAACATCATGATTTAACGGACATTCGGCCATAACAGAAACTTACCCCCATTAGCTAATTAAACTAAGGGTTTACTTTACTGACAATATGTGAACACACCCCAGCAATCACACATATTTTAAGTGCATGGATAGTGTATGCAGAATTATGTAAATCCTGTATAGCCTCTAGCAGTATAATGAGGATGACTAAACTTAATGTAATACTTTTTCTGTAAAACATTTTCTTTCTACATTTGTTGCAGGTGACCTGTACGGTGCTATTGGTTCCCCTGTGAGACTGTCTAGGACTGTGGTTATTGGCAAGAGACAGGACCTGGTGCAGCAGTTGCTTTACTTCCTTACCTACTTCATCCGCTGCTCAGAGCTCATAGAGACTCACCTGATAGAGAGTGGGGAAGATGAGGCCATAGTTATGCCTGGCTCTCTCATCACCACGTCCCTGCGCAAAGGAGAGGTAGAGGAATCTGAGTACGTTCTTGTAACCATGCACAAGCATGGAAGCGATTACCTGTGTCAAGCTCCTGAAGGGGAAGAAAACTATATTTCAGACAACAGCTCCCAAAACACTACATACGCAGATGAAGTACGTTTAGGAAGTGGCACCAAAAACCTTGAAAAAGAGTGTGCCCAGAACACAAAGAGCAATGCCCTCCAGTCTTTATTCAATAAAAGCACCCTCCCAGTCATCCGCACAGAGGATGTCAGTGATACACAGCGCTGTAAAGAGAAGGCAAACTGCTGCTTGGAGACAAAGCTAGAGACAGTTGTCTGTGTAGGGTCTGCCTTAAGGGACCAAAGCTCAGTGCTGGAGACTGCACTGGAGCCAGACATTGACGCCAGAGCTGATGATGCAACTGCAGAGGCTGGGAGTGTCCCCATTAAAGTGTTCCGTTCATCAGGCATACCTCTGGAGAAAAAGCCACCGGATAAGACCATGTTGTCCAACTTTCTGTCTGATGATGAGCAGCCTTCCACTAAAGTAATGTTTCTGATTGGGGATTCGATGTCACCAGATTCTGACACAGAAACCCGGAGGCTCAAAGTAGAAAAGCAAATTAAGAAGCACAAGAAACAGCTAAAGGAGAAACCACAGGGTAGCGCTGAGCAGAACTGTGACTCAAACAAGATATTAGAGGACCAAGCCAAGACCAACGAGGCCAAGGAAAGATTGCTTCATGATGCCAGAAAGCTACCAAACTGGGGCCTTCCTCATGAACAACGCATAGAATTATTTGATGAGTATTTTAGCGATGATAATCCAGTGGAAACCAGGACAATTGATGATATTTTAAAAAAAGAGGAATCAAGCACCTCTGAAAGTGCAGAGAAAGAACTTTTATATCCTTCTAAAAGCTCAGGGGGGTTCCCTGGCAATAAGATCCAGAGTGGGCTGGGAGACGGCAAATGTTGTTGTAGTGCAATGGATTCCATGAGGGGAAGCTTTTGTAAAAATTGTTCTGCTGAGCAGGACAAAGGAATTGTGATTTCAGTTACTGTCCCCCAAGGGGACAAAGAGGAACTGAAAAAAGCTCTCCCACTCAATGAGTGGGAAATTCCACGGAACGAGAGCTCGGACAGTGCCCTAGGGGACAGCGAGAGTGAGGACACTGGCCATGACATTCAAAGACACGACAGCAGTTACTATGGCGAGGAGCAAGAAGAGTGGCTAGATGAGGTGGAGATACCTTTTCCAGGGTAAGGTTAACTATATTTTCTAGACAATGTACTAGTTATTATAATAATTAACTAGTATTATCATATTATGTGATGTTTGCAGAAGGTCTTTTCATTAACTTTCATTAGCTTAAGTTGTACTATTTCAGTTGAATGTTTTCAAATACTGTATTTGCCACATACCGTGTACTGTAAGTTGCTGGGTCTAGTAGATATTAGAGATTTATTATAGATCATAATTTATTTATATTAACCTATGTGGGAAAAATATTTGGCTCATATTATAATATTTGGATATTCAAATTATATTAGCTCAACGGGAATATATAATTGCCACTTATTTTAAATATGTTCAAAGCAGAGTAAACTATGGGTACAAAAATGGTTTAAAATACAATTTTGCAACAGTGATTTGCAAATTTTGCTACTAATTATTTCTTTTCATAGGTCTAAATTAGTGGAGATGAATTTCTCCAAGCCTAACATTGCAAATTTTGGGAGGTCTTTGTTTGGTGGATATTGTCCAACTTATGTTCCTGACTTTGTTCTGCATGGGATACCCAATGACGAGAAGCTTAGGCAGTGTCTAATGTCCGATTTGGCACATGCTGTACAGGTAAGCAATAGCTTATTTTAGATTTAGCATTGTTTATTGGACTAAATAATTATGATGATTATCCATTTTGTGCTCTTTACATTGCCTTTTGTGCCAAAAGTAGTGACGTAAATGTATGATGACATTTAGGTACAAAGAAATCGGTAGCACTGAAGTATTTACATTTGTCATTTTCTTAGAGATTTGACAACACCCCGACCACTTCCTCATTTTACAAAATCTTACGTTTATCATCAGAGGTCCAAAGTAGTGGTAAACATGTGAAACATCTCAATTGTTAGGCCTTGCAGACTTTGAGAGTCAAAGGATATTCATTTAATACTTGACGTTCATCTGACAGTTTATTATATTTATCATACTTAAGAGGAAGGGATCTTTTCTGTAGAAGATGGACATCACACACTGGATACTAGGCTTATTCTGTACTTCAAATACATTAGCATTGGTTTATGTGTTGCAGGAATTTTGACATAATTGTGATAATTGTTTGAGATTTCCATTTTAACCATAAAATATCCAATTCCAAAAGCTGGATTTATTATTAAAATCCATTATTTGTGTGATATAAACATATTTATTTGTAGCTATGCTGTTAGCCAGATGACACCTAGGAATGTTATTTTATTCCATCTTGAATTGTGCAAATTGTTTCTTAATTTCTCCCTGTAGCATCCAGTTTTGGATGAACCCATTGCTGAAGCTGTCTGCATTATCGCAGACACAGATAAGTGGACAGTACAGGTGGCTAGCAGCCAGAGACGAGCAACAGAAAACAAACTGGGCAAGGAGGTCTTAGTGTCCAGTCTCATCTCCAACTTGCTCCATTCAACCCTCCAGCTGTATAAGCTCAACCTTTCATCTAACTTTGTAAGTTTCACTTTGTCTTTTGATTTATTACTCTCTCAATCTGTTCAGTGTGCATAAAGATCGGCAGTTTTTAACATTCTAACTTCTAATTTGTTTTAATTTCTTGGAATGAGAAGCTGTGTAAGAGACCAGACGTTTGTATTAAGAGGATACATATACAAGCACTCATCCAATTTGAATCTGCCAAATCTGTACGGAGTAAAATATTTTCTGGAAATGTCTCCTGAACCTTTTTGGGAGAGAATAAGATGTTAAGAGGAGCAACAGATATCTCACTGATATCACTTTTTATACTGTCCCCTAACCCATTTCATTCCCACTGCACTGCACATCAAGTAATGTTATTTTCACTGCATGTATAAATGGTTTCAATTTTAAACTATTCTTTCCTCAGTGCATCATGCACCTTGAAGATCGACTTCAGGAGTTGTATTTCAAAAGCAAAATGCTTGCAGAATACCTAAAGGGTCAAACAAGAGTGCACGTTAAAGAGCTTGGAATGGTTCTGGGGTAAGAATTGATTTCTTCTGTGTCAAAATGACACTTTCACTGCTTTAGGATTGGTAGCTCTGTCATATGCTATCAGACATGGGCATTTTTTATTTAAAACCTGGTGCACAGGATCTTGAAACTGACCTTTTAAATTTGTTTTCAGCTGATATTGTAACAGTTTTTGCCCTTTACAAAATGTTTAAGCTACACTTTATTGAGCTATGTTCCTTTTCCATGCTTTCAAACACAACCTAATGTGTTTTTTTTGTAACTTTCCAGGATTGAATCCAGCGATCTTCCTTTATTGGCAGCAGTAGCAAGTACTCATTCTCCATATGTGGCCCAGATACTGTTATAGATGGGCAAAAGGCAAAAATGGAAACAATTTCATCTGAAACCACAAGAGCAGCAGAGAGACAGCAACAATCTAGGCTGAACTTGTCTGGCCATTTGCAAAAGGAGGCTTAGCCTTGCACATGCAGAGCAAACGGAAGCAGTGTGAGGCACTGGGATTGGACAGCGTTACTGTTGGATCACAAATCAAATGTTCGCTGCCTACGAAGTAGCAAAGGATACACAGAGCACATCCGTGTCTACACACAGAAGGAGAGTGTCTCAGACTGCTTGAAGGTTTTACTGTCATTTTGCATCTTTGGAGCATTTTCTTACTGTTTTTAAGATTTTTAGAAGTACAGTACAATCTTGCTAAAAAGGAAGTATAATAAGGATGTAATCAGAAGAGGAAAAAAGGAGAAATGCTAACAGATCTCATCACTAATAATCACACATCTTTTGGTCTTTTTTCTATCGCATAAAAGAAAAAAAAGATCTATAGAAAATGCTGGGGAGCATTATTTAAAGCAAATCTCAAGTCTGTTCTTTCCCATTCTGATTTCTTGTGTTTTGTATTGGACCCTGGGGAATCATCCTCCAAAGTTTAACTTGGATTTTATCGTTACTCATTGATTTGGAAGTTCCTTTCCTGCATTGCATGTAAAACTACTTTAAATCAATGTTAGTGGAACAGAAATATGCAATTCTAGATTACTGCAATCCACATTTATTTTCCCAAAATAGCTTTGGGGTCTGAGTTTGAAAAAGGGAGCAGCTACAGAATAATAGCATTCTTGTCTTGCATTACTACCTCAGACCCATAGGGGGCTACAGTGAACAAGTGTCAGTTTTGCTGCCATAGATTGCTTAAAGGGAAATTAACACTTTTTAAAAATTAGAAATGTGTAGCAAATAGGCACATTATACGTTGTGAATTGGGATATTCTCACCAAGTATAGTTTTCCAAAAGGAATAATTTATTTTTTGCTACCTAACAATGCATATTATACTGATAATTTAAATTACTATTAATTCTCATTTATGTGGAAATACAAGTATAAATAACTATGACTATGGTGATGAAGCAATTCAAAGATCAGTTTAATATTTAAAATGACCACAGTAAGTTTCTCAATAATTTTAGGTCCCTTCAGTAGCTCTATAGCTATATAACATTCTGTGATCATGCATGTTTCAAAAGGAGTCTATTTGAATTCATTACACTTGCAAAAATAGGTAAATATATGCTTCAGCAACTTTTCTACTTTGAAACTTAAGTCTGTTTCTAAACTTACACAGTATTTTTAATGCTTAAAAGATGCTAATCTTTTCTATAAGGGAAACATATCATTAGGGGACAGATCAAAAGGGCAGTTTCAAAAGGCTTATTTTTTCTGATATTTTGTACCACTATTGAGTAATTATGGTGTATTTCTCTATTATTTGTCAAAAGCTAATGTCATGTACTTAAGTCTTAATGGACGTGGCATGCTGAAGGTAAATATCATAAGATGACTTCGTTTTCAAGGATTATTGTCAATATTATGCTTTAAGAATGCTTGACTGCTTAGGATACTACAATGACTAGCATCGCCATTGCTTTTTGTAAAAACAAAAATCTTTTTTAAATTAAATATATTGTTAAATTATTTAGTATGCCATGTAAGTTATGTACATTGTAAATAGTTGTTTTATCTGTTTTAATTTTGTACATAATGTTTTTGAATATGCATTGTATTCCTAATTTATTATTTCCCAATTTTATGGGAATGTTGTGCAATAAAATGTTCATGCTATATGTTTTGTACTGTTTTGCTTTAAAAAAACAAAATGCATTTTCTGTAACACTTAAACTTTGCTATTACTTTCTAAGCCTCTCTTATGCCACATAACTAAATTATGCCACATTCAAATTCTGCTCTGCCCTGCCTAACAAGATTAGGTATGTTTTTTTAATATGCTAACACATTAATGATGTGATTTACATGTGAAAATAGGCCTCGCTGAGTCCATTCAAATTACGGTCACATTTAAAGCAAAAACATTCTGTAAGATGACTCATGGAACACTTAGCAGCAGGAAACAAAAGTATACAACATCTCTAGCCTTAACCAAGAAGTTAACACTGGAAGACATCATGCAGACATCATGCAGCAGAAATCAAAGGACAAAATATTTTATTAAATAGAAGTAGCATAGAAGAGGCAGAAGAGTTTCAGGAAAGAAATAACGTCTCCAGTATATGTTATTCAGAAGCCATAAACTTTTCCAACAGTCAGTCAAGATAGTACCTGGGGATTGGAGAAATAGATAGATAGATACTTTATTGATCCCTTGAGGGAAATTGCAGTGCAACAGCAGCTTAACACACACAACACAGCCACAGTGTAACGAATTATATAATAATAGTACAATACATACAATACAATACAAGAGTTACTCACAGTCCGGACACACAAGAGCAAACTAGAACAGAACAGTACACAGAAAATCGTATCACACGTATGAATATAAATATAGATGTAACCATAGATATAAATATAAATATAAATGTATTGCACAGGTCCCTGGCATATATTGCACAAAAGTGGTTGTAAACGGGAAAAAGAAAAAGAAAGAGAACAGATGTAGCAGTAGATGTGTATATGCGTTTAGTCCAGAAACAGGTCACTATCGATGTTGCCTCTGCCAAGACGCGAGGCGGATGCGTTGTACAGTCTTATGGCAGATGGCAAGAATGACCTCCTGTAGCGCTCCCTGTCGCACCGTGGATGAATCAGTCTATTGCTGATCGTGCTCTTCATTCCTGCAAGCCTGTCATAGAGGGGATGGGAGAAGTTGTCCATGATGGCCTCTAGTTGCTGATGCTGATGTAGTTCCCATCCATAAAGTAACAGAACTAAACTAAATAATTACATATCAATACATCTGATTTCTATTACATGTAAGGGGGATACAATTATTAGACCTAGAGGATCACCTGCATGGATAAAGGATAGTTCGAAGTAGCATTGATTTAGAAAAGATAGGTTTTGAGGACTTGCTTTAATGATTTAGGTGTTTATGTAGACTACACCATCTAGACTGGGGGATAATGTAGATATATGTGGGAATTGAAAGGCAAAATGATAAGATTTGTAGTTTAAAGCATAAACTATAAATCAAGTGATGGTGTGTCTAAACTGTACAGTACATTAGTAAGACCTTCTTAAGATAATGAATACAATTTTGGTCATCATGCTATAAAAAAGATACAGAATTCTTCTGATCCCCGGACTAAGGTCCCCAGACTAAATCAGATCCAAATAGAGCAGCCAGATGCATTTTGGGGATTAAGGTAATGTCCGTCACTGAAGGAACTGAACCTTTTTAGTCTTGAACAGAGAAGACTGTGCTGGGACCTAATACAAGTATTTAAAATCCTCAGCAGCATCAACCTAGTCAGCCCACCAACCAGTGGACATAAGTGGAAAATATATAAGTACTTTTAAAATAGGGAACAGTTGGCACTTCTTTACCCAAAGATTGGTAAATATGGAACAAACTACTCAGCCATGTGGCTTAAGGCGATTCCTTATAGGTGTATGACTTTCTTGGGTTAGTTACTAATTAACAGGCTCTTTCTTTCTCTTTCTAATCTTTCTTTCATTTGTAATCGTTTGTTCTTAACATCAGTTAGGTTAGTATAATTATCATTTCAGATAATGAAAAACATTAAATTTGATCAGTCTGTTTCAGATTTAAGCCTCTCATTCTCTGGGGAAGTGACTGAATGTCCCTATTTTTTTTAATAATACAGTGTTATGTATGTTTGTATAAAAACAGTTATTCAGAAAGGTTTCCAGAATTGTTTTTTTCTAATTCATTTCATTCTGGCATTTGTAGCATAAGCAAACAAATTGGAAGTTGAAGGAATCTTATGTTATTGTAAAAACTTAAAACAAGCTTTTAATTTTGCTTATGAAAGAGATACAATAATTGAGTTATTTTGTTAATGCACAGCTAGAGCTAACATGTTTTGCTGTAGCTTTCAAGTTAATTCCATAGCACTGCAGGTGTTTATGCAGAAGACCATGAATCCCACACAATTATTCATGGAATATGCAGGCAAAAGCATCCAGTAGAATATATAAAAGTGATAACATAAGGTTACAACTTAAATCATACATAAGAAAGGTTACATACTAAGTCAAGAGAAAGACAGTCAGTTAATCTGTTTTAATTGGCTACTAGTTGTTAATTAATTTAAGATCTTATCCAATCTACCACACCAATATTCGTAAAGAAATGCCTCTTAATTTTCGCTTGTTTTCAGGTCTTGGTTTTCACCAATGATACCGAAAATAAATAGCTGTGGTCAGTATTTTTTAGTAGGTCAATACACGTATTGAAACAATATACAGTTTATAAATTGTTCACAAAATATGATCAGAATCTGTAAAATAATCTATGGTGGAAGCTCCAACCTAAAATAATAATTTTACTATAGATTAAACCCCTCTGGTTTTTAATGTAAGTCAACCTAAAAATAAGTATTTAAAATAAATCTAAAATGTACAATAAAAGACAAGCTTTTTTATTTTGCATAACTAGCTTACCATTTTCGCAACATTAAACATCTCTTTACCATGTAAATCGCCTTTACCTTACACTTTTTTTGTACAGATCTGAATGCGAGAACGTAGCATTCCGGTATATACATCACTCTATTTACAATATATTGAGAGCTACGCTATAATTCTTCTGATACTGTTAAAAGAATACTTTCACCAAAGGTATAATACTCTTTGAGAATAATTCGAATTTAATGGTAAAATTCCCAAATCCAATTTTTTAAAGAATCAGATTTACTGTCTTCGAAAATCATTGCAGGCCCTTTAAAAAGCACCTCTCGCGATGTTTGAGGAGTCAGTGGGAGTGGGGAACAGTGTAGGCTTGCGGAGTCAGGAGGGAAACACAGGTCTTCAAAGGAGTGTGGAAAACGGACTGACTAGCTCTGCAACAGGAGGGAAGTTGAATTTTACGGTTTTATTGGATTATCATGTAGCACAGCTGGAAAACTAACAGGGGAACTATGAAGGCTTGTTTAATATATTTGACGGGGAATTGTTAGAGTATAATTAGTTTTTAACTTTTTTCAACTTTGTTGTTTAAACCAAGGAGACTTTACTGCAAGTTGAAGAAACGTTTTACATATAGATGACTGGATGAAACAGGCACAACGGATTATGGGAAAGAGATTAATGTCATAAATGACAAAGCGAGATGGAGTTTATTATTTTGGTTGTTTGATGCCTTTAGCGTCAGGGATGGCAATGGATATGTGTGGAGGTTAGCTCATATGAATTGGTGCGTGCGTGTTTTTCTTGGGAACCAAGCTTAAATGATTTCAAACGTTTTAAGTGCACGGTGTTTGGACAAACAAGTTTTTGGATGCTGCCTAAAAAAGCTGTATGCAGAAACATCGACATGAAATTGCACACGTCTTTATTCGGAAGAGAGGAAAGTTTTTTTTGAACTTATTTTCTTTTTTAAAAATCTTTACAGAGAGGTTCTCTTTACGACGGATATTGCCTAAGGGATACTTGTAGCTACTTGTCTAACAGAATTTATGATCATCAAAAGTCTCAGTCCTCATCTAAGGTAGAGGACCTCCTGATAGGAACTTATCCAACAGTTTTACACTTAAGAAGATCTCGTGGAAGTTTTAAGAGCTCTCTGAGAGTTGGATCTCGTTTCATTTCATGTGGAGATGAGATATGACAGACTCCATGGATACGTCATTTAAACGAGCTTTGAAGAAACATCCTTCGTTAAGGACAAGAGAGGTAAATTGTTTAATGTTTGAAATGAATGTGGCTGTTAATTTGGTCCCGGGACCTTGCTTTGGCTACAAAAATACCCTGAACATTTTGATTGACATGCACTTTCAAAACATCTTCCACACCCCGCGTCCCCACCCCGCGCTATCGGCAGTGGTCGGCAGTTTTTCTTTACAGGGAAATCACAACTCCAACAGAATACCATAGAAAAGAAATGATTGCCAGAACCATTTCATGCCCCTACGTGCCAGTCTGCATTAAATTATCGTCTTTATTGTCTTCAAAATAAGTCTCATTGTTGTAGTTAAACTAAAAAAAAATCATTGTTTTTCAGATGCTTTAAGACGCATGTCATGATGTGCCTTGCCCGTCCCATGCATGCAAAAACCTGTTAAGATAAAAAAAAACTGATTTCAGCGAAATCGTTGCAGGAAGGCCGTGTTTTTTGAATGAATGGCTCTTCCGCCGTAATGATGAATACATTGGTTTTCCTACTTTACGGTCTCCATTCGTGGAATTTTTGGGGTACTTCACTTAACTAGGATACTTAATTAAGAGTTGTCAGTTTTATGTTCTATATAATAGTGTTTGAGTTTTACAGTGTTTTGTTCACACATCCTCCTTGATCTTGGTTTTGGCAGGGAGTCTCCATGCTATTAGATAAAGCATGTGGGAAATCTTTGAGCAGATACGGTAGTTAAGGCTTATGGATGAGTAAATGGATGGATTGGAAAAACTGGACGGGGTTTAAGATAGTTTAATAAAGCTGTGAGGATATCCCTTTGACCCTACTGAGTAACCTTTTTTAGGCACACTGTAACAGAACACAAATGTACATTTCTTGAATTCTTGAAAGCATAAAGGAATTATTATAACCCCAACCTGCCATTTGTAATTTACACTTTTTCCTGTTGGCTTATAACAGTAAGTGCTTGATGAGGATGATGATAATACTAGCCAGGGTCGTACAATTTCAACATGGTGAAATAAATTGAAACATTTCTATACAGTAAAATAATTCCATTACTGAAGATCTACCTAGAACAACTCTTTGAGGCTTTAGGGGAACATATCCAATTTAAAATCTAAACCATTTTACTTTTTCTGTTAATATAAACTTGATTTTGCCATGTCAACCCATGAACATAGCACAGTGGCGCAGTGGTTAGCTGTGGTTAGGTTGCTGCTTTGCAGTGCTGGGGTCCTGGGTTCAGTTCTGGATCTGGTGTGCTATCTGTGTGGCATTTGTATGTTCTCCCTGTGTTTGTGTGGGTTTCCTCTGGGTGCTCCTAATACAGTACATACTGTACTGGTAGTTAATTGGCTTTTGGGAGAATGTGGCCCTGGTGTGAGCATGTGTTTGTTTGGGTCTGTCCAGTGATTGACTGGCTTCTTGCCCAGGGTATAGCCCACCTTTCATCTGTCGCTGACCGGGATGAGCTCCAGCTCCCCCCACAACCTGTATTGGTTAAAGCAGTTAGAAAATGAGTGGAAGGAAACTAACTCAGATTAACACCTGACCTGGGTGTGATCTCTTTAGAAGTTGCTTTCTGACACACCATTACACTGATGTGCAAGACAGTACTGATAAACGATTCACATTAAACATTGCTGCATTAGGTTTGAAGGGTGGGGGTACAGTGTGTTCATATCCACTCTGTATGACAAGTTCAAGTACTCGGGCAATTACACAGACAGAAAGAGCTCATAGAAGCCAAACAGACCCCGCATTTGTATTTGTAGGTGGAGTTACTAAAGGTATATGCACAGCATGTTGACGGATTTAAAGGAGGGATTTTTCTCCAGGGAAGTACACAAGGGAATTCCATGGGGTGTGCTGTACATTGTTGACAAGCACCATCAGGTCTTACCTACTGCCTGGTATTGAGCTGTAGGAACACCTTTTAAAGCAGTGTTGGCTCTTGATCCTGGAGATCCATGGCTTTGCATTTGATAGATAACCCAAACACCTTAATGGTTAAAGATGTTGGGGTCAATGGTTATTTGGATCCATTCATTTAGTAAGGCTAAATTAATTCCTTATTAATTTAGTCCAGATAGAATAAAGATTCCGACTCTGAATTCAGGAATGAAGAAGTTAATTTTTTATACAAGTCCCAGTTTGCATTGGGTCCATGGCGCAGTAGTTAGCATTGTTGCCTCACAGTGCTAGAGCCCTGGGTTCAAGCCCTGGGGAGCTATCTGCATGGAGTTTGTATGTTCCCCCCCTTGTTTGTGTGGGTTTGTCTAGGTGCTCTGGTTTCCTCTAACAATCTAAAGATATACTGGTAGGTTAACTGGCTTGTGGGAAAACTTGCCCTTGTGTGTACAGTGGATATGAAAAGTCTATACACCCTTATTGAAATTGCAGGGTTTTGTGATGTAAAGCCAGAAATCAAGATAAATCATGTCGGACATTTTTCCATCTTAAATGTGACCTTGTAACCAACACAATTCACGAGAAAAACCAATAATTGAAATAAAAAAAACCTGCAACACCCTGGTTGCATAAGTGTGCATCCCCCCCTCCAACTAATACTTGGTGGAAGCTCCTTTTGCATTTATTAGAGCAGTAAGTGTTTGTGAATAAATCTCTGTCAACTTTGCACACCTGGACTTTGTAATTTTATCCCACTATTCCTGGCAAAAAAGTTCAATCTTCTTCATATTGCCTGGGGATCTCCTGTGCACAGCCCTCTTTAGGTCATTCCACAGGTTTTCTATAGGATTGAGATCTGGGCTCTAACTGGGCCATTCCAAGACTTTGATCTTATTTTTCTGAAGCCATTCCTTGGTTGACTTGAATATGTGCTTTGGGTCATTGTGTTGGAAGGTGAAATTCCTCTTTATCTTCAGCTTTCTGACAGAGGCCAGCAGGTTTTGTGCCAAAATATCTTGATATTTGGAGCTAGTCATTATCCCATCTATCTTGACTAGAGCCCCTGTCCCAGCTGAATAGAAGCAGCCCCAAAGCACGATGCTTCCACCACCATGCCCAATTTACAGAGCACAGTTAATTAATATAATTGTTTAATGAGAAAATTGAGAAGGCTGCATTTGCAATATAATGTAAAACAAATTGATCAAAGAAGTGGATAAACTTTGTTTCTGCTGTGTTCTTTGGGTTGTAGGTGCAACCGTTTAATTTGCCTCTTAGAATGGAGTATTTATAAAGACTTTGCATTTAATCAAATAGCTCTTGCAAAGCTGTTTTTCATATCCTGGTGATCGGGCCATGCATGAAACAACTTACAGTTTTCCTTATATTTGCAGTGTTGTGTATTGAAACGAATTTTAATTAATTATGCTGTAGTTTTCATGGCAGTATTCCCACCTCGTAATAAGGGTTGGGGATAATTTGAGTTTGTTTTTTTGGTTTTGGTTCCCCTTTCAGTTTTAATTGCAGTTCCAGTTCCTTGTTTGCATCCTAGATTGGTTCAGCCGGTAAAGGTCTGGGTGCCTGAGTGCAAGAGATCATGGGCTTGAGCCTTGGTCATGTCATCCCCAAATGGCAGAGTCCAGCTTGTTAAGTGCCTGTGAGGGTGTAGGGTGGGGTTGGTCAGTCAAGGATGTCCCTGGCACTTTCAGGGTTTCGGTGCGGTCAGTGAGGGATGTTCCTCCACTAAATCGCCGCTCTTGTCTGGAGTTGTGTTGTCCATCATGTGCAGAAGAATGAATGGCTCTGAAGGGGACAGGTATGCCTATAATTCCTCACTCTCCCCTGTGTGTGGTCACAGGTTTTACAGCCTTGAGCTAGAACATGAAACGCGCAGCTAACGATTCCAAATTGGTGGTCTTAACAATTCGTTGGTGATTAAAAATAAAAACAAATACTGGGATTGATCAAATGAAAACCGGATGGCTACTGTAAGTGGTGTTGGTGGACCAGTAGATGACAAACTTTTCTCTGGACAGATATGCTATTTCTGTGCCACGTATAGTGACAGGGGACACTACTGTAGGTGGTGCTTTTTTTCAGATAAAAAAAGGTCCTGAGGTCCTTGCTATTTGACTATTAAAGGTCCAGTGGCATTGTGTATAAGAGTAAGGGTGTCTTGGCTGACATCCATTTTGAGGTTGTACAGTCTGGCTTGCACCGAAATTGCCCACTTTGTTCAATCAGTGAAGCTGTTCCTTCGTATGAACTGCAGGGCCGGTGCGTAATGGCTGCTGTGCTTCACTCAGTTAGATGCTGGACTTCAATAGAGTATGAAGCAAATTTCCTCGTGTATGTGAAGTGCCTTGGGATAGAAAACCCTTCCCAAAGGAAAAATAGTAAGCGGTATGTAAGGAAGTATGTGGATGAAAATAGTTAATAAGTATGAGTCAGACTAGTTAAGGAATTGAACTGTTCCAGAGAACAAATACCAGAGTTTAAAAGTGATCCCTTTAAAAGAGGCTGTTCTATAACTCCCTGTTTTGGTAAGAACGACATTCCAAAATCCCATGATGTGAATGTGTGTGAAGGAGTAGTGTCCTATACAGGGTGTACCCTGCCTTTTGCTCGTTGCTTGCCGGGATTGGCTCCTGTTTTCCTGTGACCCTGAATTGGAAGAAGTGGTTAGAAAATATGTAGATAGATAAAAATTCCTATTCATGAGCTTTTCAATCTTTAATTTTAATTAAATTATTTGTATTTATATATTTTTTGTTTCTCTTGTATTAAATCAAAATTGTTGCTCACCATGTGAATTGAGTTTCGTTTATGAACAGATTGGTTTTATCTTTCCAGGATGTCTAATACATAGGTCAGAGGTACATCTGATTAAAACAAAAAAAAATACCTTTACATCTATGCTGTATTCCATGTCAGTGTTTGATAATTGTTACTTTACTTTTTTCAGTATCAGGAATTATTTCTGCTTTTATTTACTTATACTGTGCTTTCCACTTAAAATCATTTAGGTTCTCATTAGAACACGGTCTTTATATTTTGTGAACTGAAGAAACTAATGGTTTGAAAGTCAAAACCATGTTTTGATTTAGTGTTGTCAATTGTTGTGCAT